GACATGACAGTGCTTTTACTGTGTACCCCTAGACCCCACAAAGTTAATAACAGACAAGTGACAAATTCAAATGACACTCACCTGAAATAATAGCTCGAAACTTCAAGTTGCTTGTAATTCAAAGGTTCATGATACCGACTAATACTAAAACCACTCTCATCCACAATAAAGGAGATCTTTACGCTTTTGAATAAACAACCGAGTTGTATGATATTTTTGATGTGAAGGACTTTTTTAAAACAAACACAAAAGTCGCGTTGGTTGACAGGTCGATTTAGAAATTTTGTTTTTCTTCTACGAACATGACATGCGAGTAAAAATATCGAAACGATATTATGTAAATTAAAATTATTTTAATAATTGCGAAGAAGACTGATTTTGTCAAAATTCAAGAGAGAAAGAAATAAATAAACCAGAACTGTTTACACGTACATTTATATCCAGAAAATCACGTATCCATGCAAGGTTAGAAATGACATCAATTACGTGTTCAATGTTTATATTACGTATTCTGGAACTTAGTAATATCCAATCCGCGGCTCATTTAAGGAAATCAAAATGACGTAATAATTTCAAATCTTAGTTTAAAATTTATATGTACCTAGATCCCACTAACCCAGGTTCGTACTATCCCAAAACGACATTCTCCAATTATTTAATTAATGACCGATAATGATTTATATTTTTTTTTTTAACTTTATATTTAAAATATATTCAACTAAGTAACGAGACTAATTTTAATGGTGGTTTTTTCAACCATGATTAACGGGAGCAAAAAAACAATAATTTGTCTCGTTAAAAAGATTCTTTTAAAATATTAATATTCCATATGATACATTAGCTCACTCAACTTTTACAACTTCTATTTCTTCAAATTTATTGAAGAGGTTGATTAGTAATTATATTAATGGAGATAAAACTTTTAAATTTTCCAAGGTAAATTTCAAATAATATAATTATTTATATTTTCGAAACTATTTAATAAATTTGTTAAAATGTATAGGTTAATTCAATTATATCATGACGTGGACTCTCTAGTGAAGTTATTTTGAATGATAGCACATTGGTTAAACAAGTCTTCAAGTCGTTTGTTGATCGAGTTCGAGAAAATATAACTAACGTTATCGGGATGATATTACTGGTGCCCACCGGAGTCATGCTTTATTTTTACTCGAAAGCAGATTAAAAAGTGGACACACCCAAACTTTTTTGCTATACAAAGAATATTGACACAGCGATGACAAATACTCTTGTATCTCAATCTCATAATTTGATATTATTTTTTGAAGATATTATAATGATGCTTGAAAAGAGCGAAATTGTTTATTCCTTGATGAATCAACAGATTCAATATCTTTTCTCTCCCATCGAATGCTAAATGGAAAACTTATACAGCCTAATATTCGCTTATACTCTGCTTGTAACCACATCGAATTCGTACAAAAATATAATGCGATACCGGTTTGACAAAAAGTTTAAAAAAATACGAAGAACAAGCACACTTGTGTTAAACGACTTCCTGATCAAATATGGAGAATATGGTATTCTAAAATCCGATGAAGAATACAATTATCATCAAAATATGGTTGAAAAATAACTAAACAAATCTGGCTCATCCAGCATTTGCCGAGCTATATACTTTTCAGAAATTCTTCGCAAAGACGAGGAACCCTAAGATGTTAGGTTAACGCTGGTGAAATTCTATTTATAAATCTCTTGACAATCACCCGGCTTATTGAAAGGGGATTGAATTTCGCCATCACGAAATCTGCCAGATATTATATTTTAACGTTTAGTCTTTGTTACATTCTCGATTTTAAGTAAATGCTTGTTAAAATTATTCGTGATGAGCAAGAAGGCTATATAATAGAATTCAATGTCCACTTAATACAGAATAACATGTAGCTTGATTAGGAAATGTTTATTATATGCATTTTAACAAGGAATCCGTATCAAAGCTCCCGGATTTTTTTTTTGTGATCCAATTTTTCTTTATCTTTCTTTCCTTCTTTCTTTTTTTTTTTACTAAATTCTCAATTTTATAGAAACATGTCAAATCTTTGACTATTCGTCTTATAAGCTCAAATTTACGTTACTCATAGCCTCGAATATATACTCACTCCTAAACGACAACATTTAATTGTCATGATGGAAGTACAAAACGGCATCACTAAGGAACTTTTGACTCTTATGGAACACATATTGAAAAATTTGGAAAATAAAAAATCTCTAAGTGAATATAGAGATTGAATTACGTTTTTTTATAGGACATTACAATGGAAGTTAGGAGCAAATGTATAGTCCAAGTAAAATTAGCTGTTTATAGGAAAATTAGGATGGAAAAGGCAAAATACGCTGATTGGGAAAAAGAATCTATTTTACAGTTGGAAAATGTTTTAAAAGGTGTTAATATGTCACCATGACTACGAACTGATAATATTGATGAAAATTCGAAGTAACGACGAATTCCATGGGGATAAATATCAAACATTAGAAACATGCAGAAAAAAGCTTCAAGCATCGGTACTTGGAACGTTTAAAAACAAGTATGTAATTTTTTATCATCATTAATTTCTTGTTGGTTAATTTAATTTTTATCTCTACAAATGTATTTGCATAATTACTTAACATTAGGAACACTGATTCAAAAATATTTATTCTATATAGACGGCTACAATATTGACTATATACCATTGTACGAGGTGATTTTTCATAAAAAATATTTATTTTAATGTGCTTTACAATTTCTTTTATTAACAATGCTTCTATCCTAGATCTACATCTATTGACACCTCGATAGCTCTACGCTTATTCTTTCTTCGGAACCATCTCAGTTTCTTCTTCTATGAAGATGGCGAATCTTCTTGTTAAAAAAGTAAATTTGTATACATAAGCATTACGAACTTCACAAATACTAAAATTGAGATTTGCATTTTGAACTTGATGGACAACCTTACTTAATGTATTTCATTTGATCAAAGTTTTTATATTTCACCTGAAACAATTTGTATAAAAAAAATAAAAGAATTTTTTTTTTGCAAAAAATACCACTCAAAATTTTTTTTATCTAAAATATACAAAATTGTTTATAATTAAGCAGGTATTTTATATTTGATTCGATTTGTATTTTTTTTTAAAAAAAAAGATCAGATTAATTATTATATTTACAAATATATAAAATAAGAAATATAAATTTGAATTAATTTAAAGTGAGATAAAAAAATTTTTTGTAATACAAAAAAAAATAAAATAAATTGAATATCTTAAAATATATAGTACAAAAAAAATGTGACGCAAATAAGAATTTTTATGCTAATAAAAAATAAAGAATAAATATTTTCAAAATGACAAAGATTAGCAAAATCAATAAAATATATTTTATTTAAAATATGATGGTTAAATTTATAATAGCTGTAATATCTCACATTAAATGGAAGATTTTCAGTTTAAATTTTAATTATATGTATAATCAATCAATTTCTGCTTTTTTTACTTTTAAGTGTCAGTACATATCTTGGTTTGGTACAATGTATCACTGTGTAAACATAATTCTAAGTCGTATATGCATTATACAACCCACTACTTCGACCATGTTTAATCACACACGCATTACTATTGTTGTATTCAGTTCTTTCTATATGTATTTATAAACAATTTGTATTGTAATCAGAGGTATTAATTAAAAAAAAAATGAAGTAATATTGACGCTATATTATTTAGTATTATCAGTTTGATTAGTATTGCTTCAACATCAGGCGTTCTACATTTTCTCTATGTCAAAAGATTAAAACTAAGTAAATGCTATCATTAAATTTCAATTAATTAAAACTACGAAAATATGAAATAATTACATAAAATTAAATAATATAAGAATCGGAAATTAAAATAAAATAATAAACAAAGTTTAAAATGGCGAAAGCATAAATATCGTGAATGTGTTAAAGAAAGGATTTCAAAGTTAATGTCAAAGAAATATAACAAGCACGAGTGTGGATATTAAGCTGTTAAAGGATTTCTGACTTGTATATATAAAAAAAAATAATCAGGCCAGCTTGGCATTCTTGACATCCTGTCATACTGGCACCTTGACAAGTTACTTTTGAAAACTTGTCATTTTGGATTAAATAATATTGACCGGTAATCAATATAATATTCATTTAAGTTATTATAAGCAGCTATAAAGGCTATAAACCACCTTTTAAATAATAAATAAATTATTTCAGCTTCAACTTATTTATAAAAAAATTATTAATAAATAAGCTTAAATCCTTTAGTGTATTAAAACGCTGGTAAGGTATCATTTTTAGTTGTAAGTGTAAAAATAAATTTATTATTATCAAATACATTGAAATAAAATCATAAACGATTTAAAGTTATAGTTTTGAATCAAGTTTTTTAATAATTGTTAAAAACATATATAAAATTAGGAAAAGAATATAGTAATATAATTAGTTTTTTGTACTTAAATCTGACAATTTTATATTTTTTATGATACGTTATGTTAATAAGATGAAATGTTAATATTAATGCTATTATTTCTTAATAAAACAGTTATTTACTTTAAGAATAAAAATTCTTTAGACTTAAAGAAAGTGATATTCAAAATTACTATGCAATATGACAAAAAATTAGTCGTCAAAACTTAGATAAAATAACCCAATTATGTGTAAGCTTAATATCTTTACTCCTCAAAATAATTTTACATTAAGGTAATGTAGAACTAAAGATTTAGTCAAAAATACAGTAGATATTCAATTTGGCAAAACATTTATTTAGACGTTGAGTTTTTATAAAGATTTAGGTTTGATACTCGTTAAGTAATCGGACTTATGCAAGCCTCTACTTTAAGGTTCAAATATGATTCTTTTAGAGATTTTATTATATAATGATATATAAATTTATAAATTTATCATTCAGTAATTGAAAATGATTTTTCAAACAGAATTTTAATTTATCACTTCAAAAATTATTGCGTAAATATCATTTACAATTTATATACTAAAAGTATAAAAAATGTTTAATGAATAAATATAATATTAATCAAATTCTTTATTTACCAATTTTTCTAGTTAATAATTAATACACTAATTCAATAAATAAACTAATTTGAATCGATATAATTGAGCAAATTAAATATGAACAGCAATAGAAGCTTCATTATCAACACTTTTTTAAACTAATATTGTATTTCCTTAAATATAATTTCGATAAAAATAATTTTAAAATGGAAATTTTTAACATATAAATTCACTGTCGTTTAGCTATTAATAAAAAAAAAAATATCAAACTTCAAATGCAATGCAATTTTAATTTTAACCAGTTTTCAGTTTGTAAAATTCCACATCAAGCAATTTTATTACCAATTGTTTTTCACTCAGTTAGTAAGGAAGATTGGAATGTATATAAAGGTTGCAGGAAAAATACGATGACAAAAAAGAAAATCTCTCTTTTTTTCTAATGGTAAATTTGTTAACTTAAATAGATATTTATTTGCATTGAATAATATTTTATTAAAGCGAAAACTATGTTTAATTCCAAAATTTGGTTTAGAGTAACCAAACTATGTTATAGTAGATTATTAGAAGAATTTTTATCAGTGAAGCTGAGCAAAATATAAATTATGTATCATTCTAAAACTAGGGATGATAAACCCTAGAGAAAAAGGAGTGAATTGTTGAAAAAAATCTATAAGGTGGCGGGTGATATTGTTTGTTTCGAATTTTTATTTTTGGTTTGTGTAAGGTCAGGAATCGTTTGAGATTTCATCATTAAATCATGCGTATAAGTTTATTTAAATTATTAAAAAATCCAAGAAAACAATAAGTTTTAAAAATAGATTTCGGGCAATACATTGCACTACATATTTTGCTATAAAATTACTTCAGCTCGGGGTCAATGAATTTCAAGATAAGATCATAATCTGATTATCCTGACATCTATCAATATACATTTGTGAATATGTGCCTACCAAACCGTTCGTTTTGGTTGCACGTACGAAAAGATTTTGAAAGTTTATTATTTACCCTGTCTTTTACCGATCCACTGAAGCAAATCATGATATCGCGCCTTCACGATCACACAAAGCAAATAATGCATCCATCACGATTTTGATAGAATTCTGGATATTCCTAGAACAAATGAATCAGTATTCTTCCTTGATAGGTAACCTTAATCAAATTATTTTTGAAAAATTTAAATTCAAAATCAAGTGGGGGTAGGGTTTATTTTTCATCGCATAACCTTGATAATATGAGCAGACTGATGGAAATCTAGCTAATTTCTATACTAATTTTAAACCTTAATTAATTTGCATGTTACTAGGAAAGAATGAACATACCAAGACAGAGAAAGTTATAACCAGTTTGATTCCTTGCATCACTGAAAAAAATATATTGCAACTGAAGATTTCTCATATTTTCTGTATTTTCATTTGTATTTTTCTTTATAAATTTCGAAATTAGTAAGTAAAGTTTTTATGCAAATTTTATTCTATTATTTTAGGGACATTTAAACGATAACTCGAAGAACTCGAAAAATTCGTGTTCGAAGACTATTCGTACTTGCCAATGTCGTGCTTAAACGTTCTTCCGTCTTCAGTACTTCCATATTTCTGTCCTTCAACAACTATACCTATTACTCTTCACCTTTTTTTATGTCTTGGCCGGTAATTAAAAAATATTGGCAATTTTGGAGAAACTGTTGATAAATCAATGATCAAGAATAGAATTAAACCACCTCTCTACTCCTTTACATATAATTCTATCAGTGATAATTTTCTAAATTCCATTAAAGAAATTGAAAGGATTTTTTAAAGTCCTCATTATGACATAGTTTTGGGAAATTATCATCATCAATTGATTAATTCTTAATTTCTCTCAAAATAATTATCAAAAAAATTATTATTAATTTGCCATTCAAATGAAAGTAATAACAGTTAACATAATATGATTAAACATTTTTATTGGATTTATTTATAGTAAGTTCAATAGATATGGTGAATATAAGTTGAGGTGGACAGGATTATATGATGCTTATTATCTTGTTAACTGTAATATTAATGATACTTACTATTCAAAAATGAAAAAATGATGGTATGGTAGCAACTTCTATTTTTTTTTGTGATAGAAACCCGATTCACTTTTTTTATAATTTGTAATGTAACTAACAAATATTCAATTTTTTTAACCGTGGCAATTTTATTAACTTGTGCGAGATAATTTTTTTTTTTTTTACAATCATTCCTATGGTTACAAAACATAGTATATTACGAAATATATTTGTTCATTTCGCATTTCAAATGAACTTATGACTTAGCTAAATAAAATGACTATTACTATTCTATAATGCAAGTATAATTTAAATGTATTATTATAAATAATTCGATAAAAAAGCAACAGTCAGAAAAGCAATCTTTTTTATAAATAATGAGAGTCACATAATAATTTAAAACTGGAACTTTTCGCTTTTAAAAATAAGTATCCAGAATAATTACGTTGTTATATGATTGTTTTTATGACGTTAATATATGTATATAATGATAACGTTTATTGCAGTACGTTACTGAAAGTATTACAGTGAGTTTTCTGAATACATGGCATTTTTTTTCTTTTTTTCTTTAATGTCTTTTCCAAATTATTGCTGTAAATACCATTTTTAGAACCGAACTTCATTTCCATTGCAAGTGGTCGTGATTCTAGGTTGAAGTACGATTTCACAGAAAGTGATCTTTGGCCCTGAAATCTATCGATCCCATCAAGTGGTCGTGATCATTGATAGAAGTCCAGAGGAGATCGGGGCCCATGGAAGAAACCTATCGATCTCTTAAAGTGGTTGTGATTCTTGGTAGAAGTCGCGGGAATGGAAGAAATCTATCGATTCAACATCAAATAGCCGTCTTTTCACATGGGGATAATTACACAAGTAATATATGATGAAACCCATTCTACAAAATCAGAAGATCATTATATTAATGGAAAAATAAAATGTGCATGCGCACCGTCTCGATTCCAGCAATGAAGACTTCGAACTAATCAATTAATAGGTTACATCATCAAAATTTTCCTTGGAACGATGATGCTATGCCATTTCTCTAGTAACGTCAACTTGATTTTCATCTCCGAATACTTCAAAAGAAATAAAGACATTATATCTCGCCTATCCTCTTGAAAATTAATTTCATTTTTCATTTCTAAAAGAATTTCTTCGCGACGAGGTTTAATATAATTCTCTATACCATTGTTTAACGAATTAATTACATTCAAATAATAATTATTGTAGTAAAGAAGAAATGTGTGACTCAACATAAATAGTTGTTATAAGAATACCACCGATTTGAAAATAATGAACCTGCCTAATAAGTGCTTCACTTGATTCATATGCACTTGAATTTTCGTTCTTTTCGTTTGTACCATCACTTTTGGGAAAATAGTTATAAAAGGATTTTAACGCAAAAGAAGGTTTACCAAATGACGAGATATCACCAAATCCAAGGAAAACCTTTGCATCCAACTAGTAATTTCAAACACGATATTATCATCATATAACGATTTCCAATAATTTTCTATTTCCTTAAACAATTCTGTGCTAAATGCATCTGATTTTTCAAAAAAACTTGCATTCATTAGCAGAGGTACGGATAGCATTTTATTCCTTGACCAATTATTTAATTCACTGTACAAACCCATACCGCTTTTACAAAATCTTATTTTGTTCATTCCGTCATTATTCGGGCATCGTAATGTAAAATTACTTTTTAAAATGATTCGGTCTTATATAATTTTCTTTTTCATTTATATGATATTTTGTAAATATCATTAAAATAAAATATTGGATCAAAGCGAGTAAATCGATTCTGAACTTTTGAATATATATTAAAGATGTTCTCTTAAATTTTTTATCATAAATATACCATAGGATGACACTCAATATTTATTGATAGAAATTTTATCCTGAAAAGATCACGTGATTTGAATTGACTCGAAAGGATCATCTCAAAAATTTTTTGAATTTTTATATACTGTATATGGGGATCGTTTATCGCGAATAACGCTATCTGGTAAGTAATAATAACTTTGTTTCAGAGATAAATCATAGTTTCAATAATGAGCTTGTACAGAGAAGGTGAAGGACAATAGTTCGACATTTTCAATTTAACCTTGAAATTTATGACATAAGAAACATTTGGTGTATTTGGGTTGAAAATATAAGATCGTATCTGTTTTGCATTGCGAATTCTGGTCATTAATATAGTTATATAGGGAAATCCATACGTGAGAATAGTTTGTGACATTGCATTTACAGTAGTATTAAGAATAAGAAAAAACTAGTAATCAAAATTCCTAAGTTGTAAAAAAAAAACACGAACCAAATTTACTATCTAATTATAACATTAATGAATTATATATCGTCAAAGTTCGTTAAGTAATTGAGACAACGATGGCTGTTTCTGAAAGTAAGGTTAAGTTTTGACAATTTCCATAATTTCTATTTCTTTGTGTTTAAAGTTAAATTGTTAAATTATGGTGAGATTATGGAATTATGCAAAAGAGTAGAAATAACCACCGGCGCGCTAATCTCATGACTGTAAACGGATTTGTATAATCATGGGAGAGAACAAAGGTTCATTGAAACATAATAGTTATGAGGTAAGTGTATTTGCTACCTGTAAAGCACGATAGTGCCGCAGTTATGAGATCACGTAGTGTTGAGTAACCTATTATCATAGTTTAAATTCTAAATGGTCAAATTTCAGCAATCCTGTCAAGGTATAAATTCTTGAAATTTTAATATATGAATACTTTAATTAAAAAATTATCATCTCATACATCCCATAAATCCCAAAGATAGCGTACATAAATATATGTATCTCAATAAAAATAAATCATGATTAATTTGAGTAATTCAGGTTCATTCCGTAAAGTGAACATTTAGAGTTTCCGAAATTACAATATCACCGGTTTTAACGTGTTTTCCTATATGCAAAGTTAATAAAATAAAAAAATAACATCAATTAAATGTAATCAGTCATATGAATGAATAAAAATTTTTACTTACTATTATTAACTTGAGAGTTGATTTCTGATTCTTCAATATCACGTTTCCTTGAAGAATTCGCGGATGAAATAGATGAATTTAATATGCTTGTATGAATTCCACTTTGATGCCGAGAATTTGAAGAATTTTGAGTTGTGGAATTTACATTTATTGCAGGTTGGCTATAATTAAAAATGCTCTTTATATTAACAGTTATTAATTTATAAAACAATTATAAGATTTTTAATTTATTTATAATACCGTGAAATATCAAATTCCAATTCTTTAGAAGCATATTCTGATAAATAAAAATTCAAAAAAATAACAAATAATTAGTTAAACTTATCTGTATTTCCATAAATTTTTTTACCATTTAATAATATAATAACGTACCTTCGTCTTGATACTGCATATTAAATGACAGTATATTAGAATTTTTATTTGCTAAAAATGAACTAGTTATTGACAAATATATTTTATTAATTATCTATATATTAATTCAATTTAAAATGAATAGACACCATATTGATAATTAAAAATTACAATACCTTTGATTATTTATATCATAGTCATGTTCCTTCAAAATATATCCTAGCATAAAAATAGAAAAAATAATAATGGACGGATAAATTAAAACCCACACTATTTAACTTTTATAAACTTTTTACTATCTTAAAATTTATACCTTGCTTCATATTATGTGATTTAATAAGTGATTGAATTGAAGATCTAGAAAATGCTCTGCTTGTATAAATTGATTTTGGATGTTTTTCGGTAAATTCAGGACCAAGTTTCTTTAATTCAATTAATTCCAATCGTTTATTTTCAGCTTGATTAAATTTCTTATTATATTTTTTTGTATAATACCAACTACCAATAGTTTTACGGATTTCTTCTATAGGAGGTCTTTTTAAATGATCAGGATCCCAACATCTTTTCATTAAATTAGCATAACATTCGGGTGTATCTTGTGTAATTTCAGGTCGTTTTCCATCAATAATATCATAAATAAGTTTATGATCATGTTCAACATTAGCAAAAGGCTTGCAACCTGTTGTAAATTCCCACATAACCATACCAATACTAAAAATATCAGACTCTTTCGAAAATGAAGCACCATGAAATATTTCTGGTGCTATATAAGGAATTACTCCATATATTTCATTATTTATTGAAGTATTATTTGCAGGCCGTGATAATCCAAAGTCCCCAATTTGCCATTGATAAATTCTATCATTGTCTTCAACAAATAACATGTTTCCGCTGTGCATATCTCGATGTATGAGATTTTTATTATGAATAGTTTCGAGTCTAACTTAAAATAAATTAGTAAAGTAAATTATAAAATAAATATAACCAATATAAATAAAATAAAATTTAAATACCCATCTAAAATTTGCCATAATATTCCTAATTTTTTTTTATTCCATGTTAATTCAATAAAATTTCTTTGTAAATAATCATGTAAATCACCTCCTGATGCATAATCCATTACTAACATAAGATCGTTTGTTTCAGGATCTCTTGTAACACCATAACATCTCATAACACGATTAACATCTTTATCGGAAAAACAAAGATGATTTGATCTTAACTAATCATATCATTTACCATTTAAATTATTTTAGATTATAAATAAAATTACATTTCAGATATAAAATATTGAATTATTACCTCATTTAAGAAAGATTGGCCAATATTCTTTGAATTTAAAAACCTTTTTATAGCAACGGTATTAATTTCACTTGCATCACTTGAACTGTTATTACGAAATTTAGATATATAACCTAAATAATTTGCTTTGTAAATGATGCCAAATCCTCCTTGTGCTATTTCTTCTAAATTTTCAAGTTTAGAAAATGAGATCCATTTAATTGCTGAACTTGATAAAATTTCTTCCGTAAAAGCATTATATACATATGCTGGATTAAACTTATCCACAGTAATTTTCATGTTATCATCAATACTATTAAATTTTGTACTGAGAATAAACTCATTTATAGTATTGTCTCCACTGCTCATAAGTGATGTATCAATATTAATAATTGTTGTTCTTTTGCATTTTCTACATTGAGAATAATTGGTAATTTCAAATATGATGTTTGTTGTTAAACAATATCTACATCCATTGTAAGTTATATGGCAATTTTTACACCATATGAGACAATCAGTTACGAGTTTCATGGAAAGTTTACAAGTTCTGCAATGCACCCTACATTCCCACCACGGTAAATAAAGAATTGGAACAAGTTTTTTAGTTAAAGTCGATTCTACCAATCCAGAAGAAATTTTATAACAATCTGAACATATCTGAGCATAAACTTCATAAATATCAGGCATCTCCTGATGAACTAACTTCCCACATAATTTACAATCCCTATGTTCAAATATTTTAAATATTTTTAAATTCATATAAATATAGGGAGTACGGATAGTAGATTTATTTTGTAATTGATTAAAATAAAAAATATCGGAGCAAGTTTCACACCATTCTTGAATGTCTTGCGTGCAAAAATCCGCATTCCTAGCTTCATGTTTGTTACAAGAAGTATCATTTGTAACTATAAGTAGATCCAAATACGTATTATTATCAGTTATGCAACTAATATACTCGGATAAGCAATTTTTACAATAAATTTGTTCAAATAAAACTGTCCAAGAGTATTCATTTCCACAATGACATTTATCATCCCATACGGATGGAAAAGGAATAAACGTAATTGGTATAGGACTGGATTTTAATTTTGGAGTTGGATCAAAATCATCCTCATTATTTGTAAGAGTAAGTTCCATATTTCTTAAAAGTTGATAAAAGTTGACTGCAACATTTAATTTTATTTTAATGTTACACGATACATTTCCAACAAGAAAACTTATGCATGGAAATCTGCATCGAAAGTTCAATTTAAATTTCTAGAATTCTATTTAAATTTTGATCTACAGTAATTATTTCTTAAAGATGACTACACAATTTATTTTATTTAATGTTACACAAGTTGAATATTTTTGAAGGCGCATAAAAAAAGAAATAAAAATATTCAAACTTAATTTAAATATTCGCATGGATATGAATATAGAATAAACGCTACATGATTTGATAACCTACTAATGCAATCCCTAATATAATTAATTAATTAAATAATATAATAAAACATTTTATAATCAATAAAAATTTACTTTAACGAGAATAAGTTTTGGAAGTCAGGTTAATCGACCGATATAAATTTGCTTGTAATAAATGATCCTATAATAACATCAAATAATCTAGTAATTAATTAAGCATTACAATTAAATATTTTTAAAATCTTTTATATTACTTATGTAAAGTTATTACAAATAGTTTGTTGTTAATTAAATTTTTTTTTAAGTAATTAAAAAAGATAGTAATTTAATTGTTAAAAAAAAATTAAAGAAAATAAGCAATATCTTTTTATTAATAATAAAAATTCGTGTGATTCTTGAATTCAATATTTCTTTTAGAAAAAATGTCAAAGATCTAGATTGTTATTATTTCTTGTGCTATTATTAATTCTAAGATTATTTTAATAAACTAATTACATAATGTTCATTATATGAAAGGAACATACCCATGGACTTGAATCTATAGAGAGAGGCAATGATTCATTGCCGAATACATAACTTTCGATATGCAGATTTTAATTTTCGATATTCTAGAGCTCAGTTTTAATTCCAAACGAAAATCCTATCGCAGTAAATGATCAATTTTTAAAAAGTGTTTATTTTTATTTTGTTTATTTTTTTAAAATAAATAAATACTAATTATTTCTGTATTCAAACAGTTATGGCCATACACAGTGAAAAGTACCGGAACCCGTCCGATCTCCGAAGTGCTGTAATCGATGATGTATTTCCGGAAATTCATTATCCCATTTAAAAATATCGTGACTTTTAATACTCGAAATAAGAAATGCTTAGCGTCCTAAATTTAAATTTCTGTTAAAATGTTTTTTGGTTTTATTGTGAAAATTCAATTTTCTCGAAACTGGCGAAAATATGGGAATTGGATTCCTTTTCTTTAGGTTACCAATTATTTTGAGCTATAATATTTCGTTGGTCATTATATATAAAGAATGAAGTGAAGAGGACAGAATGAAATTCTATAAACAATAAACAAGACTCTTTATTAAAAAAAAATAATTTATCTTACATTAATATTAAATCCAAAAGAGCTCTTCCAAGTACGTCTAAAGTTCAGTCTTCAATAATTAGGTTTTAAAACAAAAATATTCGCCCAATTACTAAAAATTACTCGAAATTAATTTACCTTACGCATAAGACCTTTGACTTCTACGGGTACATTGTCAACTTTTTCGATGGTTTGTGTAACTAAGAAATGACGTTTCGAGTGATGATTTAGAAAGCAAATTAATTCAAAATATAATGATAAAAATATTATATATATATTTCTAATCTGTTCTCGCAATTACATCTTTAGTAAGATCCAAATTGTCGTAATAAAATTATGAATATTTTTTATTTTTTACAAAATTAATAAATCGTATAAAATTGAAGATATTGATTACATTTCCAATTCCATCTTTCTCAAAAACCTTTCGTGAATATTCCCAATTTTAGTCAGGACCCTCAGAGAAAATAACTGGAAATCCCAAATAACCCAATGTTTGTACATCTTCAGATACTCTGAATTTTGATAAATTCAATAAGATATAAAAGATATAAAAGTCAAATGATTGTAATAAATAAATTTATTCCAATGTTATACTAGGAAAATGGTAGTCTACATATCACGGCACGCTATTTATTTAATCCAATAATCGATTAAAATTATGATGCACAAGTTCAATCTAGATGTCAAATTTAAAATAAGATTTAGTTTATTCTTTTGCAAATAAGTGAATTCCTAGATTTTTTTTTTTCGTTTTAAGTTACAGATCGACATTGACATAAATATTTTGCATTTTAAGTTGAAAAAATGTATTTTTTAATTAAAATTCATTAAAAATTACTTAAAATTCAAACTGTAAATTAAAATAAACAGGAAATGACTCTTATATCAATTTATTAACGATTATATATCAGATGATCGGTGAAAATTTTCTTAATAATATGAAACGGACTTCTAATTTCTTGCCACCCTGAAGCACAGTGTGTTTTTTAATAATTAAAATAAAGCTTAAATGGACAAACAACTAAGATTTCTGTATAGTATATAAATTATAAATATATCGACAAATTTTTATGCATTTTCAAAATAATACATTGTTCAAAAAAAAGACTTCGCGTGATTAATGTGGCGCAACATTAATTTTATTCACTTTAAAACCATTTTCTATATAACGGCATTTTTCTTGTATTTTATGTTGAACTTTCCAAGTATTATTTAAGTAACTCCTATTACAATCGTAACAGTTATTGATATCTTAATCTTTGTCTTCCAAAAATTCATCTAGAATTCTGCGGGTTGTGTGAACAATTCGTTATAATGATAACTTCTTAATAATACTAAAAGCATGAATAAAGCACTTCTACCTATTCGGAGTTAAATTTATGTCGAAAGTAATTCAATATTTACAAAAATCACCAAATAAGTTCTTTTTATCATTAATCATTTGAACACTAACAAAGAAGCTAATGCCACTGGTTTTTTGTTGTGAAGTATGAAATTGAGCTTAAACATCTCTTCAGACGCAAATGAAAAGCAGAAATTAGTTCGACTGTTTTAATTTAATCGATATTCATGATTTTTTTTAGTAATAGATCATTAGTATTAATGTATGATTCACTGATTAAGCTTAAACTTATTATTTGATTGCATATTTTAAAAACAGTATTTTTAGGTCATATTATTTGTAAATGTGAATGTGAATGAATCAGGAACGAGAAGAATATCATTTTTTCATAATTCTAAGACAGACACATGGGGGCTAAGCTATCAAAATCACCTTACGGATAAGAAATTGATTTTGATTAAAAAATGCTACGCCACAGTAAACAACCAATAATAAATAGTTCTATTTTTAAATATTGAGTCAAATTATTTAACAAGACGATACTAAAATTACTTATTTAAAATTTTGCTATTAAATTTTTATTTTATGTAATACTTGAATACAATTTCGTATCACTTGAGATTTTGCTATTAAAATCACCCTACGGGACATTGTTACACTAATTTATTAGAAAATTCAATTTTTAAAAGAAATATTATTTTTTATATTTATTTTTTTTAAAAAAAATATATATATTTGCTGTGGTATCCATTTAATCACACACTCAAATAATGGTTAAAGTTAAAAATTCTGAATTTTATAAGGTCCGAAACTTTTTTACTTTTTAAATAATAATGTCGATCATTTCTAATTTCTAATTTTAGATTTTTCGACTGATGTTACACAAGTAATGAGAAATTTTTGACGGCCTTATTGCTTGCTTCGTTAATAAGATAATCGACTATAAAAATTTAACGCAAATAAAGTTCATATATCATATAATAATAAGAATCAAAAATCTCAATTTTGGTTGGTGGGTCCCGTAAGGTGATTTTAATAGCTTAGCTCCCACATGTCTTAAAACTTTAGTAAATAATTAAATTTGATAATATTAATGGATTGTCAGAATTAAATAATAGTAATTGTTTTATTTATTTATGAAAATATCTTTTATTTAAAAAAAATATTCATTTCAAAAAATTGTTTTCTTTGTTTGATGAACAGTAGTTTATCAAGGAACGAATAAAATATTTTTTTTTTAAAATTTCAATAGAGTAAGTAGTTGTTCTATTCCGAAGCGTAAATTTTATTCGTTGATCACAGAACGACATTGGCTAGTATTAAAAAGAAAATAAGAAAAAGAACATCTTTTATAAACTTCCTGTTTTTTTGCTTGGTTTTATCATGTATGCAAGTTTCTTTGATTAATTTTTATGAACAAAATAAAATTACCAAACAATTTTGGCTAAATTACGAAGACATGTGGAGTGAAAATTTAAAATTATTTCATATTCTCTCTTTAAGAAAAATCAAAAAAGCATATTTTACGTGCATTTTCATTTTTTCCTCTTATACAACATTAAAATCACACCGATATTAAAAAAATTCGAATTGATAAATAAGAATTATTTTCACATTTTAAACATTCATTAAGTCGTGAAAAGTGATATTGACAATCAGATTCTACCATTTTGAAACAAATTAATATATTAACATAATGAAAACAAGAAATGTATGGAATATATTGATGTAGAAAATATTGAAATAGGCCAGTTTTATCTTGATTGTAACTTGAAGCAAAATTATTCTTTACTTACTATCAAGATGAAAGCTGATGGAATTATGAAACAAAATGATGAAACTTACGACGAAATTTTGAAGATAACTCAAAGTATGATTGGTATTATTTCTTATGAAGACAACAAGTAGATTTTAATAACTCAACAAACTAATTTCGATAATACGAATTTTTGTATTTATCCAAATATGAACTCTATTAATAAAATGTTCGCTGATAGGTGTTTTATTGATTTTGGTATACGTAATTTTACTAGCATAAATGATCAGCCGTCTAACCCTGTTTATGCAAATGATTTATGCCATCAAGGCGATCAAGGCGATCTAGGCGTGCATATATATTCGGATCGCCAGTAGATATAAGTTATTTCGCGTAAATAATGCCAATCAGGGGATAATTCATAAATAGTACTTGAGTGTGAGTCAGTATGTCCATGTTTATATTATTTCTTTTACTTATATAGACTTGAATGTAAATTCCGCAGCATATTTGAGCTAATCGAAATTTTATGATAAGAAAATTTTATTCAGATAATATTTATACATTATTCACTACGGTTTGTTGTTAACGTTTAGTCCAATATTTTTAAGAAAGGCAAAAACACTACTAGTTTTCCTTCAGCAAAGAAAAAATTATACAATCTTCAACTAAATACTGTCACGTGATCGGTGTAATTATGCGCGGATAAACAATATTTGTTATATCCGAAATGATTAGTAATCTCAAACGCCATTTGCATTTCGGATATTAGCGCTTACACAGCAATAACTTCTATTTCTATTAAAGGAAAAAAATAAATTACAAATTCGTACGCTATTTTTCAATGATTATATTACAAACGTCGTATGTTATTATTTAATGAATATATCACAAACGTCGCATGTTATTTTGTAATGAATAATTGCAAATGGTGCAATAAATTACAAATCTTTTAATGAATACAAACATGTACGTAATTTTTTTTACCCATTAGTAATTATTATGTAACCAAAACAAATAATACGGAAACTTATTTTAAGAAAGAATTTTAGATCGAATTTTCAGAATAAAATTTTAAATCCTCTCTTCTATTTACTCAACAATCATGTCAAAAGAAGAAATTATTAATCCAACAGATAATATTAATACTTTAATTGATAAATTATACATACTTTTGATTAAAACACAGTTTAAAGACTTTAAAGAAACGAAGCAATTTATTAATGATTGCATTGCTATTACAACTCAAGCAACTGTTGATATATTTAACTGGCTTAAAGAAAATCAATATGAATCAAAATATGTTTTATTCTTTGGAAATTTTTCTTATTTTAATATTCTTGATTTAAAAGAAAATAATTGTGATTGTGATTTAGGGGGATGTTATAATAAAGAATTTGAAGTTAAAATCAATAAGAATTTAGCATTTTTCTGGATACAAAAAGCTGCTGAAAGTGGTTATGCTTCTGCTATGTATAATTTAGCAATATATTATAAAAATGGAGAAGAAACAGAAATGGATCTTGAAAAGGCCTTTTATTGGTATCAAAAAGCTGCTGAAAGTGATCATATAACTGCAATGAATAATTTAGCATATTGTTATGAAAATGGTGAAGGTACAGAAAAAAACTTAAAAAAGGCTTTTTATTGGTATCAAAAAGCTGCCAAGTGTGGTAATGAATTTGCAATGTATAATTTAGCATTATGTTATCAAAATGGTAAAGAAATAGAAAAAGATTTTAAAAAGACTATTTATTGGTTTCAAAAAGCTGCTGAAAGTGATCATATAACTGCAATGAATAATTTAGCATATTGTTATGAATATGGTAAAGGAACTGAAAAGGACTTAAAAAAAGCTTTTTATTGGTATCAAAAAGCTGCCAAAAATAAAAATGTAAATGCAATGTATAATTTAGCATTATATTATTAAAATGGTAAAGGAATAGTAAAAAATTTTAAAATGGCTAATTGTTGGTATCAAAAAGCTGCCAAAAATAAAGATGTAGATGCAATGTATAAATTAGCATTATATTATGAAAATTGTAAAGAAACAGATATTGAAAAGGCTATTTATTGGTACCAAAAAGCTGCTGAAAGTGGTCATGCATCTGCAATGTATAAATTAGCATTATATTATGAAAATTATAAAGAAACAGATATTAAAAAGGCTATTTATTGGTATAAAAGAGCTGCTAAATGTGGTAATGCAAATGCAATGTTTGATTTAGCATTATATTATCATAAAAGTGAAGAAATAGTAAAAAACTTTGAAAAAGCCATTTATTGGTACCAAAAAGCTGCTGAAAGTGGTAATGCATTTGCAATGAATAATTTAGCATTATGTTATAAAAATGGTAAAGGAATAAAAAAGGACTTTAAAAAAACTATTTATTGGTATCAAAAAGCTGCTGAAAGTGGTGATTCATCTGCAATGAATAATTTAGCATTATGTTATAAAAATGGTAAAGGAATAAAAAAGGATTTTAAAAAGGCTATTTATTGGTATCAAAAAGCTGCTAAAAAAGGTGATGCATTTGCAATGCATAATTTAGCAATATGTTATGAAAATGGAGAAGGAACAGAAAAGAATTTTGAAAAGGTTTTTTATTGGTATAAAAAAGCTGCTAAAAATGAAAATTTATTGCATAATTCTTATATTAAAGAATACATCAAAAAGATTACATCAATTGAATATATAAATAATCTGGAAAATAGTAATTATGAAATATGTAATAGTTGTTTTAAAAAAAGAAAACCTTTGCAATATCATTATGGAATTTGTATATTTTGTTATCAATCTAAATTATTATTTATACCAAGTGGAAATAAAATAATTGATAAATTTATTAAGGATACACAGATTGATTTTATTCAAGAATCTAGTAGAATGTTATTTATTCCTTTTAGTCAATTTAAAAATATAGAAATAATTAATGAAGGAGGATTTAGTAAAGTTTATAAAGCTATTTGGATTAAGGTCCTCCTCATTGGAATAAAGAAAAAGAAATTTTTGAATATATTGATTCTAATAAAGTAGTTGCTTTAAAACAACTTAATAATTCTAAAAATATTACTATAAAACAATTAAATGAGGTATAATATTTATTTATTTTTAAATAATTTATAAAAAAAAATATTTATTAATATTTTTTATATATTTAGCTTTTGATGATTTATAATGCTAATTTAAATGATGGAGTTATTACTTCTTTAACTAATTTAATTAGATATTATGGAATTACTCAAAATCCTAAAACCAATGATTTTGCAATAGTTATGGAATATTATAAATATGATTTAAAAAAATATATAACTGAAAACTTTTATAATATTGAATGGGATAAGAAATTAGTATTATTACTACAAATTGGTCATGCTCTTCATAATATTCATTGTTTAGAAATTATTCATCGAGATTTTCATAGTGGAAATATTCTTTGTAATAATGAATATGATGTGGTGATAAGTGATTTAGGAATTAGTAAATTATCAACTGAATTATCAGATAGTGAAAATGAGTATTATGGTATAATTCCTTATATTGCTCCAGAAGTATTTCAAGGGAAAAAAAGCAATAAACATACTAAATCTTCAGATATCTATAGCTTTGGAATGATTATGTGGGTATTAATGACCGGTAGAAGACCTTTTTGGGATCAAAACTACGATACAGAACTTATTATTAAAATTTGTGATGGTATTCGTCCTCCTATAATTACAAATGCACCTGAAGGATATATTGAATTAATGCAAAAATGCTGGCATTCTGATCCGAATAAAAGAATAACTACTGGAGCTATTTGTGACATTATTGATAAAATAATCATGAACGAAAAAATAAATTCCACAAAAATTATTTATTCTCCAGATTTTGGACCTCTCATAATAAATAATACGGTTACAAGTAAATTTATAACGATATCAGCGGAATCTAGCAGGAATTTTGGTAAATAGACTTTATTGGTAATTCTTATACAATTACTTGATAATATTACTAATCTTGCGTATTTATTAAGGCAAAAGAATACTTGGTGATTATTTAATTGAAGATAATGATAATGGTATAAATAAGTTTATTTTTAAGTAATCAAATAATGATAATATACTTATATTTTTTATTCTATTCCAGATGAAGAAATTAAACGAATCAAATTCAATGAAACTATTCGCAATGAATCTCATAAATGTAAGTAAGAATAATAATCAAGTACAATTCATCCAGCAATTACATAAATTAACAATTTGAATTTTCATAGATTATATTTCTAAAACCATGGATTTTGATATTTAATTTATTTTTGAAATAATATATTTGATATGGTTACATACATAAATTAATAAGTATTAAACTCACATTGTAATTATTTGCTCAAATCGCACCTGTTTTGATGCATATTTATTTAATTAAGAAATATAAATTATATAACCATAATTAAAATTTTCTAAAAAAATTCATTAATTCAAAATACTTAATATATATTGACAAATCCTATCCTAGAATTTTCAGCCTACCCTTTACATATTATTAATATAAATATGTTCATTAGTTATTTTCTAAATATTTCTTTCTTAATAAACTATAATTTAACCGTATTGTTTTATAACCGTTCTAATAATTCAAAAGCTTATAAAGAACACATGAATTGCAGTTTATTAGTTAAAATGAACTTTGGAATATTATTAACATTTCACATAATACTTCCATATATTATTTATTATACAGATACAAAAATGCTTTAATTTAAATGTACATTTTTCAAAAATAATTATCGTTCTACAACCTGCCTCGCTAACCTATAAATCGCCGCTGATTTCAACAATTTCTTTCAAGAATAATTGAAAGCTTTTTCTTACAAGGATGGTAATCTATGATTGACCTCACCACTCAAATCATTGTGTTGCCATGAATTTTGTTGCATTCAAAGTTATAATACATCAAAGAATCTATCAGTAATATAACAAACTGATCCTTATTTTATCCATTTGCCAAGCTTCATAATACAATTTATCTCCAGACAGGAGTTACATTAGTTGCAGGCGGGATGACTTTTCAATCATGCAACATTGCATTAAAGGTAGCGCAAATATTTTCGAAAAGAGTTGTAATCTTCTTCATCTGTTAAATACGGAGAATGCTCAAGTTCAAGTGAGCGAAAATGGATGAACTGAAAAATTTAACGAACGTTGGAAAAAAACAATAAATGTGTTAAATATCAGAGGAGTCCGAAAGATATTCGATTCCAAGTCTTTCGCAAGAATTTAATGACTATATTAAAGGAATTATGCTACCAGTTTTTTATGCTAAGAAGGGGAACACGTCAGTAAATTTTTGTTAATTTTAGTTAACAGGCTAATTTTGAGTACATGGCTGTGGTCAGTCAAATGGACAAATAAAAAAAAAAACTTATTTCCCCCTTTTCTAGACTGCTGCTTAGATAAAGATTGTGCACTTCTTCGTAGATACTGGGTCTCCAATGACCTATATCTGAGGATGGATTAAATTCATTCGTTATCAAACCAGATGATACTATTTATGTACGAATTAATAATAGACAATCTTAATTATGATGTCATCAAAATAATCGAGCTGAAAGGAGATTTATTCATATCTTTATGCAGAACTACACGTTCATTTATTTATTTCATTGATGAACAAAGTAAGAAATATAATGTAAAAAACTTGGGTTAGCGAACTTTTAAAAAAATTCCCATTCGGTTCGAAATAAAAAAATATTGAACATTATTTGTTGTAATATTAGTTTTTTTTTTTTTTAAAAAAAAAATAAAAATAAAAATAAAAAAATGAATTCGAAACATAAATCCTTAAAAATTACAGCGATTTTTAAGACTGAATTTAATAAATCTGAAAAATTTAGACATAAATTTTATTTCATATAATATCGATTCTCGTTGTAAATATAATTTATTAAAATTTCATTTCCGATACATTGAGTACCCCCTTAGTATAAACAATGAGACAGGTGGTCGCTTGGGACGTAGCGACCTTTCGATTTCGATAAAATCTTGCACCTCTTTTTTTTTTCCTTTATTCGGATTGGATCATGTTGGCGCTAGTGGTGAATAATTATCATTTAATTTTTTTTTTCTCTTTTTTTTTTAATTTATATCGCTTTCGATGTTTTAATTATTTAAAATTTTTTTGTTTCCTTTATTCATTTTATAAATTTTTTATTTTTTAATTCGATCTGGATTACTACTTATAAGTCGTTTTTGATTTATTTTTCACTAAATTAATTTATTTTTATTTTTTTATTTATTTGTAATACTATATATTATGAAGATGAAAGAAGAAACTTCTAATACTTCTCAAAATATTTTCTTACCATTAAATATTACATAAAAATAAGTTAGATATTTATACACAATGTCAAAATATACATATGATCAAGAATAATTCATTTCGATATGCTTTAAATATATATTTTTTATATTTATTTTAACTTATCATCATAGAAATAAAATTGAATGTTAAAAATAATACTAAAAATTTATGTCTCATTATACTGGTTCAGAGTTAAATAAATGTATAGTAAATCAGGTTGAAGTCACTGTACAATTTAAATTAAAATATTTTATTATACAATCAGTGGCGGCTAAATTTTAATTAAATAAAATGTTCCGGGCTTGTACCTTGAACCCGGACTCGGCCCAGAAAATACTAAACTAATATTTGCCGACCTGTACCCAGCCCGTTGCAGGTCTTTACTTAGTGCTGTATTCAGTTCTTTTGTTTATGTATTTATAATCATTTTAAATGTAAATAAAGGTTTATATTGAATAAAAATGAAGTAATATTGACGCTATCTTTATTTAATAATATCAAATTAATCAGTGTTTCTTTAACGTCGGCGCTCTACTATTTCGCAATAATTAAAACTGCGCAATAAAGAACAATTACGAATAATTGAATAATATTATAATAAGGAAACAAATTAAAAATAAACGATGTTATAAATACGAAATCTAAAATGTTAAAACTGCGAAAGCGGAAATATTGCGAAGGGGTTAAAGGAAGGATTTCGAGGTGTATGTATGCAAAATATAATAAGTGCGAGCGTGGAATGTTGAGCTGTTTAAGGATTACCAGCTTGTATCTATAAAAAATTAATTATTAGACCAGACTGGAATATTGTCGATTTGTCATACATGCTATTTTGTCTTCTACAAATATTGTTATAATGAGCACCCCGTCAATATTCAAAGATTAATTTGTTTTGTATTTTATAGGTTCTGTAGGTTCTATAAGTAATACTGTTACACTGAATATAATTTCGCCCGAAAACTCCATAACTCCGCATGTACTGTAAATCACTTAGTCTTTTGAAGATCATTTGACTGTCAAGGTGCCACTGGCTGAAATTCAATTAATGTTGTTCTTAAAATCAAAAATTTTTTTTTGATGTGTCTCGTGACAGTATAGCGTTATATAAATTTAAAAAATACATTTATAATACAACTTCGTTGTATATACAGTTTCATCAACCCTAATTGATTTGCATAAGTAAAGAGTGGTTTAATTTCCAGGAATCAATTATCATTACTTGTCTTGTCAATTAGTGTTTTACAAATACCCTAACCCTAACCCTATTCTATTTCTAATTTTAATATAACTCATAATCTAACTGTAACTAATAATAAAAATTCTTTAATTTTAAATCTCTTAATATAAGTAATGCACGTAATATGTATATGCATTTAGTGATTTTTATATAAATTCTTTATTTTTAATTAAATTTATTATTAAGAATCATTATTTAATTTTAAATTTTTAGGAAAATTATTTTTGCAATAATAGTCTCTGAAAAATTAGAAGCATATTTAGTAAATTGATTTTCAAGAGTGTGAATATCAGAACAATTGTAAATAACAATTAATAATCAAAAGATTGAAGTTGGTTACATTCTAAAATTTTTTGTTAAAAAAAAAAATATATAAATTCATATTAGATATAGTTTCAGATGCTTAGAAAACATCCTCATTAGGAGTGTAGTAGTCTTATAAACTCATACATATTATTCGATAATTATACTTCTGTTCACTAAAAATTAAAATATAGAACTAACCGATGATAATATAATAAAACTATAATACTTTAATTCGTTAATTATGTTTCACTTACAAAAAATTTTATATAGAACTAGTTTCGAGTGAAGAAAGTAAATACCATAGCAAATTTTATTAATTAACTAATATAAGAAATTATACTCAATTTTTATTTCAAAATATTAAAAAGATTAGATAGTAAAGAAATTTATAAATTGACTAAATACTAATTTGTTGCGTTGCTAATGAATTTCACCGATTAAGCTCCTCGCTTTGATCTACAAAGCGTTTCCAATTTGAAAATTCATTTGTACGAAATGTTTCGAATTTGAGAAAATGGGAATACTACCTTACGACAACTACCAATTATAACTAACTATTTTGCCATGATCAAAATATGGTTTCTTTAAACCTTTTTTTTATTTCTGCATCTTCTTGCTAAAGCAAAGTTGTACACGACTAGTATTCAAATTTTTTTTTAGTGCAGTACTTTGATCTATGTATACGATTTCAGCACTATCATCTGCTTCATCAGACACTTTTTTTAATCAGTAACTAAATTTTCTTTGTATGATTAAATGATAATGCCAGAATTAATTCAAAATTTCATATTTTTACTTTAATTAATATTCGGATATAGAGAAACATGATTCAAGTTTCCTTTTACTTCGATATTCTTTAAGTTTTTTGATAAATTAAAAAAGTAAATTTCTTTTGCTGATAATGAATTTTGTACAAATAATATTATCGTATCTTGTGTATAGCGTGAGTCACGAAAGAGCACAAAAACTAACATTGAGCAATTTATAGACGATTGTTCTAATGATGAGAAAGTTAGAGAAAGATTAACTTCAAATTTCAAATACTTTTTCTGAGGCATGGAATTCGGTTATTGGTGATGTAGATAATTTCAGATGTCACGAGCTTCAATAACCAAAACCGGATATCAATTTGTCATCTCACATTGCATGTGCCTTAGTCGAGCCAAAGGATTCCGGCGTATATCTTTGCGCTATTTTGCAACACTTGATTGAATTACAAAATGATTTCTTACAAGAAGTATTAATTATTCCTAAAAGATCAACATAAACACTTAAATTTTTGGAATAGCCTTATTTTGATCAGGAAAACACTATTACATCATCATCATCATCATCATCATCATCATCATCAAAAGCGTATAACGCTAATTATACTCGTTACATTCAATTCCTTAGATTTGATCAAGCTAAACAAGAAAATTTTATAAGTTACAAATGTGATGATGAGTTTCTCCAAAATAGCTATCTTAATCTTGAAATAAGACACCGTCATGATATAATTTACGATTTAAAAGTAATCGAAATGGAACTTGCGCGTAGATTAGTGTTTGAAAAAGTTATTATAATCACCTTGAACGATACTTTATACTTGGAGATTTTCCCATATCAGATGGAATTATTTCAAGGATGTATTAGAATTCTTGGTGATATCAAATCTTCAATTCAACAACGGAAAATTCCATCTGATAAGATTCCTCTGATCATAAGTTTGATAACGACCAATGCAATGCTTCATATAGTGAAAATCATAATAATTATGATATCGCTTCTAAATTTCTTCATTAGAAATATTGAATCGTTTCGTAAAACCGCGACACAAAAATTCTTGATTATGTTAATCTATCAGTATAGTCAAAAAATATAGTTCATTTAACAATGTCTCATACATTTTATAAATTTGTATGAATAAATCGAAGAACAGTTGCAAATTTCATAATAAAAGATATAGATGATAAATTTAAAATTGAACTTACAATAGAAATGAAGGATGAAAATGATTCGATAGTTGAATTTGGACGTTCTTTGTCGACTGAAGAACGCTATCCAACAAAAGCATTTGTTCTTGCATTGAAAAGATTTATGCAAAGATTTTAAAGAATATTGATACCCGTTAAGTTTTTATACAAATGATGAAGGGATTATTAATTTGTGGCCGGTCGAGATTTCCGATGAATTATTAGAAATATTTCCTGGTTCCTTATTAGTGTGTCACGTTTATGCGGCATATGAATATTTAACTCTAAAACTAAGATAAAAATCGAAATATATTTTATTTTCC